TGGTGTGGGGGGGGGGGGGAGAAGGGGGAGGATTGCTGTGTAGATGCTTGCATAGTTATTTTGGAATGGCCATTATTCGGAAATAACTTTGTTATATAGACACACCCTTACAGAGCCTCCCACTACAGAACCTGGTTCTTTAGCTGGAGAGATTGATACCTTTGGCTCTGGAGGGCTTACTCCAATTCCTAGGGCAGGTCTGCACTACGGGGCAATATTGACTTAAGGTACACAACTTCAGCTACGTGAATAGTGTCGCTGCAGTTGACGTATCTTAGGCTAAATTGCTGAAGGGTCTCCACTGTGGGGGGTCAACAGCAAAAACTCTCCCATCAACTGCCCTTATGCTTCTTGTTCCAGTGGTGTACCAGAGTCAAAGAGAGAGAACAACTAGTGGTCAGTTTGACAGGTCTTTACAGAACTTGCTAAATCACGCCTGGAGGATTGATCGCTGCAGCGCCAATCTCCTGGTAAGTGTACCTGCCAGGATGGCACAGAAATAGTCATATCCAGGGCTGAACCAGAGACCTCCTGAGCTGAGAGCACAGGTCTCTCCAACTTAAGCCAGGTTCTGTAGGGCTACGTCTACACTGGCCCCTTTTCCGGAAGGGGCATGTAAATTTCACTAGTCGTCGTAGGGAAATCCGCGGGGGATTTAAATATCCCCCGCGGCATTTAAATAAAAATGTCCGCCGCTTTTTTCCGGCTTTTAAAAAAGCCGGAAAAGAGCGTCTACACTGGCCCCGATCCTCCGGAAAAAGTGCCCTTTTCCGGAGGGTCTTATTCAAAAGCCGGAAAAAAGCGGCGGACATTTTTATTTAAATGCCGCGGGGGATATTTAAATCCCCCGCGGATTTCCCTACGACGACTAGTGAAATTTACATGCCCCTTCCGGAAAAGGGGCCAGTGTAGACGTAGCCTACTTGTGTCTGTAACATAGTATTAGGCACAAAAGAGGAGATCAGCACACCCTGAGCAGTAGGTCTTAATTCTGACCCTCTCAGATTGGGAGGAAGACACTGTGGTTTTGCTGCTGACAGTCAATAATATAAAGAGCGAGCAAGATGTAATTGCTACTGAGAGGCTATGTTTTTAGTAGCATACCTGCCTTGCTTGTGTGTTTCTCCATGTGTTTCCCGTCTCTGTCTTTGAGGTTGACTGTAAGAAAAGGACAGAGACAAGAATTTAAACATTCAGAATATCACAAAGTTTGTCATTTTAAAAATCTAATCTTTGCGTAATACCAAGTAAAAAGGTGGAGCTGGTGATTGTTGTAGCAGGGGATGGGTGGGAGGTGCAGTATTTTGGAGTCCTTGCTTTCCCACCTTACAATGTGTGTAAATGTTTCCACCTGCATATTTTTATCCATCCTTTGGGTTTCCCTGAGTGCCAACATAGCCATAGAACGAGGGGACCGACAGTGTACTCCTTAACTACAGTCAATAGTGTTGTTTAGGTTGCTTACCAGAGGGTTGAAACACTTTGGTTCATGTTATTTACACAGGGTCCAAGACTGTGCTTTACAAAAATTTATTTGGTTTTTATAGGGCAGTATGGTCCTTTCTGCTATGACTAGAAGCACAGTCAGCCTTTGGCTATATGAAGGTTATTGACCCTGGCCAGTGATTGTCTATGAATAATGCAATCCTCAGAGATTATGTGATTTCAGGATAATTTATTTAAAATCCTAGATTTTTCTTGGGAGAGGAAGGCAGAATGATGTAATGGGGTCATTGCCCTCTACCCAGCTTTCTCTCTTGCTGCTCCTTTGGAGGCCACAGTACAGGGCTAGATTTTGGCATCCTATACAGAACACCTAACTATAGAAAAATAAGAGATCTCTGTGCAATCACAAAATCATTCAGTACTAGGTATTCAAAATAGGATGGCAGGACATATTGCAGACATTCAGTTTTATTCAGATTAAAAAAATAGTCTAAAAAATGCAGGCAGCCTGACGTGAATTATAAAAGTACTGTGACTTACCAGGGAAAACTTGTTTAGTCGCTCTTGACAAATGAGAATTTCATGGCATTTACAGCACATTCAGAAACTCTGCAGTCATTTTAGTTATGCATCCTCTCAGCTCATACTGGCACACTCCTTACATTTTAATATCGAAAATATCCCGTTTTTGTTGTGCCATGTCACATTGACATATTTAGATATTCTATAAGATGCATAGATGAAACAGCTGGTATGTATGAGGATGATATTTGTGTTTAGGAAAAACCCCAATTCCTATAAAGCCTGAACCCTATAAATATCTGCTTTCTGATTGTTACTCAAGGGTCAGTTCTGACAAGTACACATGAAACATTCCCAGTGATGTCCATGGAATTCAGATTACTCAAGTACCTCATTTTGAGGGGCACCACTCATTTTAATTCCAAATTACCTGTGTTCCACAGAAATTCACTGCCCCCTCACTATTATTGTTGAAAATAATTCACATTGAAATTAAGAACCAAGATTACAGAAAAATAGCTACACCAAAGGGGTTTTGTTTCCCTCATTTTGGGTTTCTGTACCACATTCTGTGCCAGATTTAGCTGACTGAGGTGCAGACTTCCTCTATGAGTAAAAGTTTTCAGGACTTGGCCCAGCATGGAATACCTATCTCGTTAGTGGATGATAATGGAAATACTAAGCTTACTCTCAAAGCCTGACATTTAAGAAAACCAAAACATCTTTTCTTGCTGCCCAGACTCCTTGAATCTCTGCATTGGTCTCCCTTTCACCAGCCTTGCCTCCATTTATGTCCTTGTCTCCTCCGCCACCCTTCTTTCTCCTCATGTCTTCACAAATCTTTGCCTGACGTTAGCCTCTGATGGAATTTGACCCTGACGTTGCACAGAGAAAAACATTCAGCCCTTTTTAGCATAATGCATCCTTACTGAACACTTTTAAGGCTGCTAAGCTGTCACAGTGGGTAACATTGTTACTAAATTAAAGCATAGTCACTATGCAGTGACATCTAGAGGTGTTTCAAAGAAGTGTATTAGAACCAAACTCTCCAAGCCTTCCTGGTAGGTGTTACTTCCAGGCAGATTGACATATCATTTAGTACTGTCCTTTCAGCCAAGAGTTTAGATTTAAATGTCTGCTTGGAGAGCAACCAGAATCAGAATAAGAAAGCCAGTCCTACTTAGATCTGTCCTCACCTCCCAGTTTCACAAAGATTTATTCCAGGGGTAGGCAAAATACAGCCCACCAAGTTGCCAGATCCAGCCCATGGGAGCCTCTTCCAGGCTTTCTGCCTGCCCCATCTCTGCACACTGCTCAGAGCTGCTCTCTGAACACTGCACACCCGGGGAATGAGGGTGTAGGGAGAGGCTTTGCAAGCTTTCCCTGCCCCCAGCACAATCTTACAGTTCCCAGTGGCTGAACAGGCAGCACGCAAAGTACCCCTCCCCTCTCCAAGCTCGCAACATTCAGAGCCACATACGGCCCCTTCAGCTGGTTCAGGGGCATAGAAGGCAGGAACTTTGGCTGAGGAACCACCTGAGGAACCAGCTGCTTCAGATAAGTGCCTCCCAGCCAGAGCCTGCCTCTGCCACCCCAGCCTCTCCCTCTCCCAACCCTCTGCCTCCCCCACCCTATGTGACCCAAGCCCTCTGCATCCTGCTCCTGCACCCTTACCCCTTGTAACTCAAATCCTCTGCACCTCTTCCTCCTTCCAGACCCAGCACTCCCTCCTACATCCCTCTTCCAGGTCACAAACTCCTCCCAGACCTTTCACCCCAATTTACCAGAGGGTTGAAACACTTTGGTTCATGTTATTTACACAGGGTCCAAGACTGTGCTTTACAAAAATTTATTTGGTTTTTATAGGGCAGTATGGTCCTTTCTGCTATGACTAGAAGCACAGTCAGCCTTTGGCTATATGAAGGTTATTGACCCTGGCCAGTGATTGTCTATGAATAATGCAATCCTCAGAGATTATGTGATTTCAGGATAATTTATTTAAAATCCTAGATTTTTCTTGGGAGAGGAAGGCAGAATGATGTAATGGGGTCATTGCCCTCTACCCAGCTTTCTCTCTTGCTGCTCCTTTGGAGGCCACAGTACAGGGCTAGATTTTGGCATCCTATACAGAACACCTAACTATAGAAAAATAAGAGATCTCTGTGCAATCACAAAATCATTCAGTACTAGGTATTCAAAATAGGATGGCAGGACATATTGCAGACATTCAGTTTTATTCAGATTAAAAAAATAGTCTAAAAAATGCAGGCAGCCTGACGTGAATTATAAAAGTACTGTGACTTACCAGGGAAAACTTGTTTAGTCGCTCTTGACAAATGAGAATTTCATGGCATTTACAGCACATTCAGAAACTCTGCAGTCATTTTAGTTATGCATCCTCTCAGCTCATACTGGCACACTCCTTACATTTTAATATCGAAAATATCCCGTTTTTGTTGTGCCATGTCACATTGACATATTTAGATATTCTATAAGATGCATAGATGAAACAGCTGGTATGTATGAGGATGATATTTGTGTTTAGGAAAAACCCCAATTCCTATAAAGCCTGAACCCTATAAATATCTGCTTTCTGATTGTTACTCAAGGGTCAGTTCTGACAAGTACACATGAAACATTCCCAGTGATGTCCATGGAATTCAGATTACTCAAGTACCTCATTTTGAGGGGCACCACTCATTTTAATTCCAAATTACCTGTGTTCCACAGAAATTCACTGCCCCCTCACTATTATTGTTGAAAATAATTCACATTGAAATTAAGAACCAAGATTACAGAAAAATAGCTACACCAAAGGGGTTTTGTTTCCCTCATTTTGGGTTTCTGTACCACATTCTGTGCCAGATTTAGCTGACTGAGGTGCAGACTTCCTCTATGAGTAAAAGTTTTCAGGACTTGGCCCAGCATGGAATACCTATCTCGTTAGTGGATGATAATGGAAATACTAAGCTTACTCTCAAAGCCTGACATTTAAGAAAACCAAAACATCTTTTCTTGCTGCCCAGACTCCTTGAATCTCTGCATTGGTCTCCCTTTCACCAGCCTTGCCTCCATTTATGTCCTTGTCTCCTCCGCCACCCTTCTTTCTCCTCATGTCTTCACAAATCTTTGCCTGACGTTAGCCTCTGATGGAATTTGACCCTGACGTTGCACAGAGAAAAACATTCAGCCCTTTTTAGCATAATGCATCCTTACTGAACACTTTTAAGGCTGCTAAGCTGTCACAGTGGGTAACATTGTTACTAAATTAAAGCATAGTCACTATGCAGTGACATCTAGAGGTGTTTCAAAGAAGTGTATTAGAACCAAACTCTCCAAGCCTTCCTGGTAGGTGTTACTTCCAGGCAGATTGACATATCATTTAGTACTGTCCTTTCAGCCAAGAGTTTAGATTTAAATGTCTGCTTGGAGAGCAACCAGAATCAGAATAAGAAAGCCAGTCCTACTTAGATCTGTCCTCACCTCCCAGTTTCACAAAGATTTATTCCAGGGGTAGGCAAAATACAGCCCACCAAGTTGCCAGATCCAGCCCATGGGAGCCTCTTCCAGGCTTTCTGCCTGCCCCATCTCTGCACACTGCTCAGAGCTGCTCTCTGAACACTGCACACCCGGGGAATGAGGGTGTAGGGAGAGGCTTTGCAAGCTTTCCCTGCCCCCAGCACAATCTTACAGTTCCCAGTGGCTGAACAGGCAGCACGCAAAGTACCCCTCCCCTCTCCAAGCTCGCAACATTCAGAGCCACATACGGCCCCTTCAGCTGGTTCAGGGGCATAGAAGGCAGGAACTTTGGCTGAGGAACCACCTGAGGAACCAGCTGCTTCAGATAAGTGCCTCCCAGCCAGAGCCTGCCTCTGCCACCCCAGCCTCTCCCTCTCCCAACCCTCTGCCTCCCCCACCCTATGTGACCCAAGCCCTCTGCATCCTGCTCCTGCACCCTTACCCCTTGTAACTCAAATCCTCTGCACCTCTTCCTCCTTCCAGACCCAGCACTCCCTCCTACATCCCTCTTCCAGGTCACAAACTCCTCCCAGACCTTTCACCCCAATCCCTACCCCCAGTCACAACTCAAATCCCTGCACCCTCTCCTGCAGTCCTGTTCTAGGTCTCAGCCCCCTCTCAAACCTGGCACCCTCTCCTACACCACTCCTCCAGGTAACAACCCCTTCTTA